GTGCACCACCTGGACTCGCAGCGAAACACGCGGCCCCATAATATATGCGTTTTCCGATCTGGTGTCGCTGACATATCCAATTTATTTGCTTGGTGATTTGTGTACGGAACGAGTTGATTGAGTTGTAGGGATTAGGTGATGCCTGCAATTTGGAATGTACTGATTTGTGCAGCGGTGCGGACACAATGAGTGACCGAGCTAGCACGAGCGGTGTTTGTAAATGAGAGAGATAGAATGGTTAATAGAAATAATAGACTTGGTTTGACATGCGGAGTTAGTTTCTTCTAACATGATCATCCGTTTATTGTAAGTAGAGCCTTGCAGTTGGGGGGGCGGGCAAGGGAGAGGCCAAACAAATGTACGGTACAGATTACCACTGTCAACTAACCCAGACACAAAACTTGTGCGTGCTGAAAAAAGACGGTATACTGGCCGCCTGTTCGTTAATACATATCATCGTATTCCTGAACAAATACTTTTGTATAAAAATTCCGGTTTCAACGTAGAAACGAGTAAAAGAACCAGCTTCGAAATTTCATAGTCATGCGTAATTCAATAGGCATTTTCATAAATAAAATAGCGTTGGCTGAACATAAATAGCTGGGATAATTATATTAATAACCATATCTACAGGTCATCATAGCGCTTCATACTGAGTATCTGTCGATTCTGCTGTAATTAGTGTTGGCCCACATAATATAGATCGCTTTGTCTCGCCTGCTTGACTGGCTAGTGTATGGCCCCTACGCCATCGATTTCGCAATCCCAGACTATCGACTTCTTGAAACTGTTCACGCATGTACCACCTCGGCAGTATATATAAATCTCTTTTGTTTAGTTACCATTCGATCGTAGCAACGTGCTTCTTGTAAGAAAAGTTAATGTTTCCAGGTAATATTCCTATTCTAATATATCTAGGTATCTCTCTCTCTCGTTCTCTCGGTCTCTCTCTTGATAATATCTCTCTCTCTCCTCGGGGGTCTCTCTCTCAATCTGGATATTATATATAGTGAATAAATAATATGTTGTTAGTATATAGTAATATAATATATATATTATACACCAATGCACCGCGAAATTAACCACGCACACATTCACGCACTCGTACGGTCGTTGCACCACACATCACACACACGCGCAGCACCACACACACGCGCGCACATACACACCACACACAACGCACCACGACACACACAACACCACACACACACAACCCACACACACACGATCACACACACACACACACACACACACACACACACACACAAACGTACGACCGTTTACGCTTCAAGTTGGTCGTCTGCTGCCGCCCACTCTAATCGAGAAGCTAAACCAGTGACCTGCGGTGCGACGCTATCCATCGATATAACCACGAGCTGAGTTTCGAAGCACGGCCTGCGCGTGGTCTACTCTGCTCTGTTTCAAGCGCTCCTGGAGGTACGACTGTCGCGTGCTAAAAAACTAGACTGCTGGTGCTGTGGTGCCAGCCACTGAACAAGCCGCCCGCTGCTGCTGTTACCGCTGCTGGGGTGGCTGGTAACTTGCCACTATCGCGCGTTCAACACGCCAGATCCCGGTCCCTGCAACTGGTTTTCATCTTTGTGTCCGCGCCTATCGTCGTCATCTTGATAAAAGATCGCAATTTGCATATCTTTGCGCTAATATGTACACGTGATGTGTGTGATGATCGATGTGAATGGGAGCGTCCTCCACTCCCTACAAGTAATTAAATGTATTTCCACAAGCTAACAGCCGGTGAGCTAACAGGTTAATATTTACCATCAGCGAAGGCCAACCCGATGAGCTAGCAGAATCGTTAAAATCTTACCACAAGCTAAGCAGCGGTGAGCTAGACGGTTAATATCTTACCACAGGCCTAAGCAGCGTGAGCTAGAGCCCGCTTAATATCTTACGCGAGAGCAATAGCAGCGGAGAGGCAAAACAGGGAAAATACGTATGTCCCACATGCAAGCAGGAGAGCTAACAGTGAATAGTCATTCCCACAGCTTTAAGCGGAAGTGGAAAGCTAACATGGAATTTATTCACAGCTAGCAAAATGAGTTAACATGTGAATATATTCACACAGCTAAGCAAGGATGATTAACAGCGTGAATAATATTCCACAGCTAAGCAAGGGATGAGCTAACAGGTGTAAGATATTCCCCACAGCTAGCAGAGAAGAGTAACAGTGAATATTATTCCC